GAAGTTGTGGGCGCTCCATCACTGGAGGCTTTTTAAGAAGAGACTGGACAGCCACCTGTCTGAAATCATATAGGGTCTCCTGCTTGAGCAGGAGGCTGGGCTAGAAGACCTCCAAGGTCCCTTCCAGCTCTATTCTGATTGATTGATTGAAATATAACATCAAAGTTCCAGATTCTTTTTTCCAATTCTTTATCCATTAAAGCCAAAAGAAGTTTCTGGTTTTAATCTTTATATTCGCTTTTAGAGTCTTCTGCATTAGGAGAATGGCAATTACTTGGATGAATCCTTAAGGCTTTTGGTTGACTGAGCATTGTGGGTGAGGAAGCGGGGCAGAAAGAACAAAAACCCTCCAAAAGATTTCCTACCATCAGGTGAAAAAGTAAGCACATTCCACTGAATTATTCTACTTTTTTTACATAAGTGACACACTTACATTTTTGGAATAAATGCAAATTTTATACAGGGAAAAAATAAGTAGACTTAACGACCACAATTGAGCCCAAAATTTATGTTGCTAAGGGAGACAATGGTGGGATTCAAAAAATTTTACTACCAGTTCTGTGGGCGTGGCTTGGTGAGCGTGGCAGGGGAAGGATACTGTAAAATCTCCATTCTCTCCCCACCCCACTAACCTGCTTTGCAGCTCCATTCTCCTGTGCAGGGCAACCAAAGACCCAGTCAATCAGCTGTGACTCGGGAGGTGGAGCATAGATGGGGCGGGGCCAGTCAGAGGTGGAATTTGCCAGTTCTCTGAACTACTCAAAAATTCTGCTACTGATTCTCCAGAACTGGTCAGAACCGGCTGAATATCTCCTCTGGCTTTGCCCCATTTTACAACCTTTCTTGCCACAGTTGTAAAGTGAATCACCAAAACTGTTAAGTTAGTCACACGGTTGCTCAGTGAATCCAGCTTCCCCACTGACACTGCTTGTCAGAAGGTCGCAAAAGGGGATCACGTGACCCTGGGACACTGCGGCCGTCATAAATATGAACCAGTTGGCAAGCGTCTGAATTTTGATCGCATGATCGTGGGGATGCTGAATCCTTTCCTTTCCTTTCCTTTTTCCTTTCCTTTCCCTCCCCCTCCCCTTTCTCCTGCTACCTCCCTCCTTGCTTTCATTTGATAGTTGTGCCTCCTGATTCAGCTGCAAATTCCCCTTCAGAAAAGGAAGGGAAGCCCCATCACTCTCTCTCTCCCCCACCTTCCTGCCCTGCCAGTGCCAAAATGCCCGCTGTACCTCTGCCCTCCTGCCCCAGTCAATTCCTGTCACACTTACGCTTGCGTCCCAAGCTCAGATGAGCCTCCAGCTGCTTGATCCTCACGAGGAAGTCAGGGCCAGCTCCATTCTTCTGCAAGGCATAGCCTAATAGGGTGCAGGCATATTGGGCAGCTCTAGGAAAAGACAATAAAGAGACCCAACCGAGATTTGTCAACTAAAGAATCTAAAATAATCTTCATGCAACAAACTGGAGTCTGTTAGTTTATAAGCTAAGCAAGACAAGTCAATATAAAAAAAGAAGAAGAGAGGAGTTATAGGTCAAGTCATTATCCTACAATTTGGTGTGGTCCAGATTTGTTCAACAGGTAGTCCTCGATTTACAACAGTTCATTTAGTGAGTGTTCGAAGTCACAACAGCACTGAAACGGCTGTTTTTCACATTTATGATGCAGCATCCCTGTGGTCATATGATTAGAATTCAGATGCTGGGCAACTGACTCACTTATGACGGTTGCAGTGTGTCATGCCCCTATTAGAATCTGACTCCAAGGGAGAGGAGGAACAGCCGACAGGGAGTGGGAGTGTGGCTCTGGAGGTTGTGGAGGAAACTGGGGAAGGGCACAGGCCGGCTGGCAATCAGAGGAAGACCCAGGCCCATCCTCTCTCTATCCTAGGGCAGGCAGGGAGGAGCGGTTAAGGGAGAAATGTGAATGGGATGGTCTATGGGGGAGGAAAGGGCCCTGATCCCCTTCATGGGCTGCAGCTGGGAGGACTGTTTAAAAGGACAAACTGTGCGTGGCCCAGTGCTGGAAGCAAAATGTGAAATAATTCTAGTCTATCAGTTCTTATCTGAGTTATCTTATCCTTCCCAGTGTGTGTATTTCGACATCTGTGGACGTCTTCAAGCCCTTATCCTGCCTTTTCTCATTAATTGCTTCAGTGTGGCTTGTTTTTTTTTTTTTTTATAATTTATATGTATTCTGAACGGAATTTCTTCTTTTTCGCAACTGTTCGTGGGGGAGTTTTTTTCTCCAGTCAATGATAATTTGACCTTTGAAGCCAAGTTGAAGGAATTAAAGGGACTTCACCTGTTTTTTGTGACTTTGTTGCTTTTGTATCCCACCCTGGGTCATCATACAGTGTCCTGGGGTCATGTGATCCCCTTTTGTGACCTTCTGATGAGCAAAGTCAATGGGGGAAGCCCTGATTCGCTTAACGGATGTTGGGACTAACTTAACACCTGCAGTGATTCCCTTAACAACCAAGGCAAGAAAAGTTGTAAAGTAGGGCAAAGCTCACTTAACAAATATCTCACTTAGCAACAGAAGTTTGGGACTCAATTGTGGCCATAAATAGAGGACTACCTGTAGTAAGGTTAGAATCCAGCTGGAAACCCATCCAGTCCAAGAGTTCTGATGACTTAAGTTGGAGCATTGCATTTATACATTTGTCACTTATTCCATAATTCAAGGAACTTTTCCATTGGGTGAAATCTGCAATAGTAACTTTAACTCAACTATTTGGTGAGGATTTCTCTTGACTTTGGATAAAATTTTGCTTCCCTAATTTATGGCAGTGGTTATATGATTGCAACTCACACATGTCTTGACAAGCTCAATATGGACAGATAGTTTACTTGCGTCAATGAAACCTGTGATCTTTCTCTTCTGCTAAAGTCCCATTTCTGAAACTGAATCAACATTGTATTTCCATCAAAAATTAAACAATACTTTGAAAACTAAAATCACTAACATTTATGTATGGAAACAAAAAATGGATATATCTGATAGTGGAACATCAATGAGTGCAAATGTTAAAAGACTTGTAAATTGGTTTCATCATATTTAAAACTGAAAACTATTTAGCAAAAAAAAGTAATTTTGATTTTATTGGATGCCCTAAAGAATTTTGTTAAATGATGGATGTCAGATCTTCCTTGTGGCTATATAAAAAAATTGAGGGGTGTCCTTTTGGAAATATATAAATTGGAATAATATTTTAATAAATGCATAAGTAGATTTATAGGGACATCTTTTACATTTTGACTTACATTCCAGAAATATAGAATCTGACTTTTGCCAAGAACTTAACATGTGCAATTGCTTAAAGAATTATTCTGAGAAAACGGACAAATATTCTAGATATTAAAAAAATCAGTCATGTGTAGTTTATCCATTTTTTAAAAAGCAATTTTCCTAATAAAGCAATGACATAATATATTTTCCTTTCACATACATGCCACAATTAGATTACTAGGTTTTAATAACCGAAGGAAAATTCAGCATATGGTTTGCTTAAATTCTATTATAAATTCTCTCATATTATCTTGTCCTATGTGATTACATACACATAAGTAGACCATAAGTTTCCCTGCAGAAAGAAAGAAGTTCAGGATCCACGTTTAGGAACAAAACGCAGCATTTTTTCTACCACTTATGAGCACAAGATTTGATGTCCTCATTACTGATCTTTATGCTGTCTTCATTGCCTCAGTTTCCAATTAACCACAGACACCCAAAGTTTTTCCAAAGTAGTTGCCAAAAGCTCTCTTTGAAGAAGCAGCGGCAGAGCGCAAATGAGGCAAGAGGTAAATATTTGGATGACTTAGATAAGGGCACCGCCTTTTTCATCCATGGGGTGAGGACGAGAGAAAAGCAACCTCAAGAGGAAAAGTAAGAATGTGTTGCCAGAGTTATGACCGTGCCCTAGTTATGCACAAGCCCATGTTTGCAATGAAAAGCAACAGCCTTTTAAGTAGTTTGTTAAATGAAACTTCTGCAGGAAAACAATAATTCAAAGAGTACCAAGGACCCCAAAGTTCAGTCTTGGGCTACAGATATTCTCTTTTATTGATATCTAATGAGATTAATTCAACTTAAACCAAATGCTTCGCATGAATTTTAAAAATACAGGTAGCCCTCGACTTACAACAGTTCGTTTACTGACCGTTTCAAAGTTACAACAGCACTGAAAAAAGGGGCTTGGGACCGTTTTTTCACGCTTAGGGCCATTGCAGCATCCCCTGTGGTCATATGATCAGAATTCAGACGCTTGGCAACTGACTCACACTTATGATGGTCACCTTTTGTGACTTTCTGACAAGCTGTCAATGGGGAAGCCGGATTCACTTAACAACTAGGTTACTAACTTAACAACTGCAGTGATTCTCTTAACAACTGTGGCAAGGAAGGTCTTAAAACGGGGCAAAGCCCACTCAAAGTTCTCACTGAACACAAATGTTGGGCTCAACTGTGGTCGTAAGTCGAGGACTATCTGTAAAGTCCTCCCGGGTGGTCACCCACCGCCCTTCGCCCGTGCAAACCTGAAGACCCGCTCCTTGGCTTGGCTTTGGGCGCTGAAACGGACCCAGGAATCCATGGCGGAGACCGAGGGGCGGTAAAAGGCTAACCAAACCGAGCAACCTTCACCTCAGCCCTCGCCCGTCTATCGGGCCCTCGGAGAGGTAAATACCTCCACTTCCGCCTCCGTTACGGGAGCGCGTGAGGGTCAAATTTATCCGTGGCTTGCGATTGGCTCCCGCTGAACGTACTGGGATGAAAGATATGACGTAAGCCCAGGAGCGTCCGCCTGCTTCTGTTCTCGATCCCCATTGGCTAAAGCCTCGCCGAGGATCCTCCCAACTCCAACTCGGGCCGTCCGTCTCCTGGCTTTCGAGAGACTCACGACGACGATTGGGCAAGAGGGCCGAAAAGGCCGCCTTCTGTCGGAGAAGCCTTTCTACCATTGGTTGCTGGCCAGGGCTGAGTGACTCCTCCGCGTCTCTTCGCCTACGGTCGCCCGCAACGGAGGGGCGATGGAGTCGCTCCGCGTCCAGCGGCTGCAGCCGGGCGTCGGCGGGACGCTGCGCTCGCTGCGGCCCGGCGTGACGACGGGGGCGCTTCCCTCGGCCGCCTCAGCTCCGCCTCTCCCGCCGCCCCCACCGCCGCTCGGGCTGACGCTCACCTTGGGGCCGCCGCCGGCCCCTCCGCCGCTCCCCCCCTCCCTCTTGCCGGGAGTGACGGCCGGCGCCACCGCTGCCGCCAGCCCTCCGGGAGCCGCCGGGGGCCCTCCCGCCGTCCTGAGGGAGGCCGTGGAGGCCGTGGTGCGGAGCTTCGCTAAGCACACGCAGGGATACGGCCGCGGTGAGGAGCCGCGCCCCTCCTGCCGAAGGCCCGCGCCCCTCAGCTTTGCCTCCTGCCGGGGTTGCTGCGGGGCCGAACGGGGGGGGGGGGCAGCCTGGAGACCCGGCAGACATCGGTCGTCCTCGACTGATGACCGAGATAGGAGTGGGGGGGGGTTTCCATTGCTGAGCAAGACGTTGTGAAGGGCATCTTGCCCCATTTTACGACCTTCCTTGCCGCCGTTGTTAAGTAAATCCCTGCAGTTGCTAAGTTAGTCACCCGGTTGTTAAGTGAGTCTGGCTTTCCCATGGACTTTGCTTGCCAAGAAGGTCGCAAAAGCGTTTCAGGTGACAATGCGGGGAACCCCACAGCCGTCCTAAATGTGAATTTATGACGAATGTGAATCGGTTGCCAAAGTGCAACTTTTAATCCTGTGATGCTGGCAACAGTCGTAAGGGTGAAAAAGTGTGAAAAACGGTCATTTCTTCAGTGCTGCAAACTTGGAACGGTCACTAAGCGAATTGTCACTAAGTGAACGGTCATTAAGTCGAGGAGTATCTGTCATTCCTTCTACATTGTCTTTAGATAGTTCTTGACTTAACGATACATCAGCGGTCATATATACAAACCAGTTGCCAAGCATCTGAATTTGGATCGTGTGGCCGTGGGGAGTCTGCAGTGGTCAGAAGTGTGGAAAAAGGGATTAGTCGCTTTTTTTCAAGGCTGTTGTAACTTTGGCCACTAAACGGATGGTTGTAAATCATGGATTACCTGTAATGGCTAAGCCTTAAGAGAAGTGGGAGCAGGGCGGAATGGGACAACTCGCTGGAGCACAATTCGACAATTTAATTATTTAAAATATGTTTAAAATATACTTTTTTGTCATTCGCACTTTATTTTGTTCTTCCACTGGCATCCTTTCTTTAATGATTCTGTTTGACTATTTCTTCAATATTAGCGTAAGTCAGAGGTCTCCAAACTTGGCAACTTTAAGACTTGTGGACTTCAACTCCCAGAATTCTCCAGCCAGCCATGCCTGCTTTTTTTTCTCCCTTAGTCTCCTAAAGTGGAGAGAGATTGCACAGGAAGGGATTACAAGAGTCAGCTATGCTGGCTGGAGAATTCTGGGAGTTGAGGTCCACAAGTCTTAAAGTTGCCAAGTTTGGGGACCAACGTGTAAGTCTTTGTCCTGTGGTGAGTTGTCTGTCCCACAGTGAGTTGGCCATGAGGAGTTATTGTAGACCTGGAGCAGGGGTCATTGGTTTATTTATGATGGCTGTGCCTCTGAACATAGAGTGCTTTTCTCCTTGGTGTGCTGCACTTCTGATCATGCATGGAACATTTTTCTGAACGTAGGGCTATCCAATGCAGAGACCATTCTCCAGAGATAGAGAGTAGGGTGCACTTCATTGTTGGTGATAAAAGCAACAGAGATAAGACTAGAGCCATGATGGCGAACCTATGGCATGTGTGCCACAGGTGTCATGCAGAGCCATTTGTGCAGGCATGCGAGCCCCAACCAAACTTACCTGCACTGTGCATGCGCACGCCTCCCAGCTGATTTTCAGCCCGTTTGAGGCCGTTTTCGCCCTCCCAGAGGCTTAAGGGAAGCCTCTGCAGTCTCGGGAGGCCGCAAAACGGGCCTTCTGGAAATACCGAAAGTGCCGAAACAGGCCCACTTTTCAGCCTCCTGAGGCTGCAGAGGCTTCTCTCGAGCCTCCGGGAGGCTGAAAACAGCCTCAAACGGACCGATAATCAGCTGGGAGGCATGTACCTGCCCAGTGCAGGTAAGGGGGCGGGGCGGGGGTTTTGTGCATGCATGTGCAGGGGGGTGGGACACATTGGATTGTGGGTGCCAGCGCGCATGTGCTTTAAGCACACCACAACAAAAAGGTTCGCCATCACTGGACTAGAGCATAAGCATGCATGGACTCAACTCCTGTCAAGTTCATTTATAGGTGAAGATGTGTCCAGGTGGTGAACCCTTCATCTTTGTAGTTTTTTTTAAAAGAGGACTATCTCAAGGATGGTTTGGTTGTTTTTACTGAAGATTGCAGTAAATGGGACTCTATAATTATGGTGTCTCTTAATTCTACATTGTAATTCTAGGTTTCTTTTTTTGGCAGTCTGTGCTTCTGAGCAAAGGCTTCTGTTTCTGTCAGTCTGATGTGACATCTTGCTTTAATAATAGCACTTTCATGCAAGCCATGGCGAAGCAGATTGCATTGTTTACTTTGTGTAGTTTTTTTTTATTTTATTATGTTTTCATTACTGTGATTAGCAAGGAAGAGACAATTTACTCAGTAGAAGTTTACTTGGCTAGAGGAATGCATGCAATCATAACATATTTAATGGAGAGGCTGTCTGTTGGACAGTCTTTCAAAGTAGATTGCTGGAAATCATCCTTTGGGATCAGGAGTCAAGCAGAAGCTCTAAGTTTTTGTCTCAAGCATCAAAGTGCTGTTAACCATACCTTGAAAACTTCTATTTCCTGAAACATAGTGGGCAACCATAAGAGAACTGGTGAAGCATCCCAAGAATTTTCACATTGGGTTAAAAAAAATAAATCAGGTGTGTAATTTTTTGTTTGTTAGAAGAGGCTTGGAAACTGTTATGAATGAGGATCCTGAATCCAGGTATAGGAGTGGCAGAGATAAAAGAAGGAGCAGAGTTTCCTTAGTTCCAGGTTGCTTCTCTCCTTGGTCAGTTTCCATCCATTGCTTCTTGTCCTGCCTTCAGGGGCTTTGGAAATTGCTTGCTCCGCTCTTTTTTGTGGCAGCCCCTCAGATGCTGGAAAACTGCTATCATGTCACCCCTAGTCCTTCTTCTCACTAGACTAAACTCAATTCCTGCAACCATTCTTCTTATATTTTAGCCTCCAGCCCCCTAATCATCTTTGTTGCTCTTCTCTGCACTCTTTCCAGAGTCTCAACATCTTTTTTATATTGTGTAGACCAAAACTGGATGCAGTACTCTAGGTGTGGCCTTACCAAGAAAACTTTACTGTAAAGTGATCTTGATTCTAATCCTCTGTTGATGCGGCCTAGAACTGCATTAGCTTTTTTGATGGCTGTAGTGCGCTGCTGGCAACATTCTCTATTAATAAAATCCTTTTCTCAAAGTGACCTTATTTTATGATTGCCTTTGTTTCTATTTATATTCGGCTGCAAGAAAGCTTATTCAAGTTTGGAACCTGTTTGGACTGCAAACTATTTGTTCTGGAATTCTGTAAAGTTCTGTCAATTTTTCCCCCTCAAAACTTATTTTATTGTTTTGAGTAAGAATAGAGAAAGATATATTAAAGTGTTTAATACAATTGTAAGGGGGAAAAACACTGTTTTCATATCGAGAACTACAGTTGTTTGTTTGACTGGCTGTTGTGTAGCTGGAGTGGATCCAATGAATGCTGTTTTGTACATTTTACACAGTAAATGCTTGGCAGGCAGCCTGTAGCTTAGCTGCTTTTCTGGCTCTGAAAGCCTGCAAGGACATATGAAATCATTTACTCTTTCTTCTTAAATACGCAAGTCAGATGTGTGTCATGCGCAAGGCAAGGACCAGAGTTTGGAGCCAGGAGAATAAACAATGTTTATAAATAAAAATGTTTGACTTCTGACTGTAAACATTTGCACTTTGGTAGCAGGAAGTGTAGAAAAGAAATGCTTTTCTTCATGAGCATTTTTAGAGATTTCTTTTTTTGTATCAAAAGCTTTCCGGCTTCGCATGGGGATTTTCTTATATGGAGGAGCTGAACTTTCCAACAGAAGGCTAGTGTTTCTTCCGTTGCTTAGGATTCATAAATATTTAGCATGCAGGTAATCCTCCACTTACGACCACATTTGAGCCCAAAATTTGTCAGAAGGTCACAACGGCACTGAAAAAAATCACTTATGACCATTTTTCACACTTACGACCGTAGCAGCTTCCCCATGGTCACATAATCAAAATTCAGATGCTTGGCAACTGGCTCCTATTTATGACGGTCCCGGGGTCACATGATCCACTTTTGCGACTTTCTGTCAAGCAAATTCAATGGGGAAGCCAGATTCACTTAACAACCGTGTTACTAATTTAACAACTGCAGTGATTCACTTACAAAAGTGGCAAGAAAAGTCATACAATGGGGGAAACTCACTTAACTAATATTTCATATGTCATGGACTACCTGTATGCCCAGCATTTTCCAGTTGATTAGTAATCCTTCGTTTTGAGTTTGTTTCTGAAAGGCTGCGATAATATCTTCTAGTTACCATTTAAAAATTGTAGTGTCTATGTAGGAATTAATTATAGAAGCTGTGTGGACATCCTAGAGGAGTGTTCTATGCTGTAAGCCAAGGGTCTTCAAACTTGGCAAGTTTAAGACTTGTGGCCTTCAACTCCCAGAATTCCCGAGCTAACATGACTGGAGGAGGAATTCTGGGAGTTGAAGACCACAAGTCTTAAAGCCGTCAAGTTTGAAGACCTCCTGTTCTATCACTATCCATCACCTCTCTCTCTCTCTCTCTCTCTCCCTGTACCTACCTATCTATTTACCTATCTATCAATCTATCATCTACATATCTATCTATGTATCATCTATCATCTATCACAAGGGTCTTCAAAGTTGGCAAGTTTAAGACTTGTGGACTTCAACTCCCAGAATTCCCGAGCTAACATGACTGGAGGAGGAGGAATTCTGGGAGTTGAAGTCCACAAGTCTTAAAGCTGTCAAGGTTGAAGACCCGTGCTATAAGTAGTCCTTGACTTATGGCCAATCGCTTAGCAACCATTCAAAGTTATAATGAACTTCCCTAGGGCTACTTGCAACCTGGTTCCATGGTTACAACAGTGAATCCAATTGTGGTTCTAAGTTGAGGACTATCTGCAGTAGCTCTCTGGATTCTCCAATTGCAGCAATGATCGGGAAAGCTTTACGCTGCAGATATGTGTGTAAATAATTGTTAATATTCTTACAGAGACTCCTTTTCTATTTTCAGTCAATGTTGTTGAAGCGCTTCAGGAATTCTGGCAGATGAAGCAATCCCGTGGTGCTGATCTGAAAAATGGCGCTCTGGTGGTTTACGAGATGGTCCCATCCAACAGCCCTCCTTACATTTGCTATGTTACGTTGCCAGGAGGGAGCTGCTTTGGCAGTTTTCAGGTTAGATTTGTCTTATTTATGGAATCTTAGACTTGAACTGTGAGGTCGTCTAGAGGTGCTCGCCTCCCACTCGGAAGGTTGAGAGTTCAATCCTAGGCAGCGGCAGATGTTTCCCTACCAGGGTGCAAAGGAAAAACATCTGCTGTGAACTCTGCACAGGCATCAGGAAGAGCATCAAGCCAGTAAACGCTCAGCTCCATTCAGTCGCCCCAAAGCAAAGAGATTACAGGGTCATAAAAGGAAAAAAATAAATTACAGAATCCTAGTCAGGTGGAATTGATGAAAATATCTTTAGTTTTGAACAGCCTTTCTTTTCATAAAAAGACAAGCTATGAGACGTAATGTTCTGTACTGTAAATGTGAAAAATACAAAGTGTATGCTACCTTTAGCAGCACAATATCAGCAATAAGTTTCAGAAATACTGTATTCCCCAGCTATTCCAAATCCTGGGCTTAACAGAGCCTAAGCAGCAGAGATCTTCAGGTAAATGATTCGGTTTTTGAGATTTGAATAGGCATCTGAAAGAAACAGGAATGTCTGAACCATTGGGAATAGCACTGGGTCTTTAGAATCAAGTAGCTAGAGTTTGGTTTTAAACAGTAATTTTATTGACAAACTAGCTCGATACCTGTGCTTTGTTACGAAGCTATGTGATCGGGCTTAGTTTTGGGGGGAAAAATAAGGGGGGAAATTCTGCCTCTGTCTACCAGCATCCATCAGTATTCATCTGGCTAGTGTCCTGTCAGTTGAGGGCTGTTTTGAAACTGAAAGAGTATTTGCTCTATGAACAAGGAGACAGCAAGGAGCCTGGGCATGGCTTAGCTCAACTGTCCTGTGTTAAGCCTGGAATCCCCAACGGGTGTTAAGGAAAACAAACTAAACAGAACCTGCAGCGAAGTCAGATAGGAAGACAGGTAAATGTGTGAGATAAGTTTTTTAGTTAACACGGTCCATTAGTCATATATCAATTTCAGTCAAGTCTTATCGGGGATACTCTATTTGCAAAGTCCGTGTTGAATAGCCAATGTCAGTACACTTACAATAAATCAATCCAATCTTTATTTTCTCTCTGTTGAGAAAAATCAACACTCCTCCTTCTCTCCCCGTTTCAGCAAGAACGCAGTCATCAATCCATTCAGTAATTAGAGATCAGTAGGCCAGAGAGAGCAAGCTGCAATTGCCTCGCTTCTTATATTGTGCTTTTACAACCACACCCTTAATTACATTCTTGCTGTTAAAGTTACACACACTTTAACTAACAAACCATGATACCATATTTATTATTTTTACCCAAACCAGTTAGGGTAAACAATGTTATCCCTAACACTAAATACTAAAGCTGTTTGGTGCTGTGAAACTAAAACTGAAACTGAAACTCCTCTCTGCTGTTTTGCATTTGGAAGAGATTTCTTTCCAGGTGGGGAGGGGGAGTAGAACTCCTTAGCATCAGAGTGTGTTAATAATAATAATATAGGAAATACAAATGCTCTGATAGTCATTTTGAAAAATCCTTTCTTAGTGAGCGCCTAGAAGCCAAGAGGAACATAAGGGCCAAATTTCAAGTTTGTAGGCTCCGGAGATTTTGTGATGATGCGTGAGTGGCATTTCACTTTTATATATATAGATATTATTGTGGCATTTTTTTCTTTAAATGTACGTGCTGACTTTCATCATCCCATGAGTTTCTTTCTTGGATGCTGACCTTTCAAACCTTTCTGACGGTTGCAGCCTATCAAAGAATAGCAATTCAATAGTGCCCTTTGCAGCATAATGAAAATTTAGGGATAACTTTGTTTATTTACCCAGATAGTTTCTTTCTTACATCTGCCTTGTATTCTTCTCCAACCCTATCTCAGTTTTGTCCAACGAAAGCTGAAGCCAGAAGAAGTGCTGCAAAAATTGCACTGATGAATTCAGTCTTCAATGAACATCCATCCCGTAGAATCACGGATGACTTTATTGAGAAAAGTGTCATGGAGGCCTTGGCATCTTTTAACGTAAGTGCTTTTGAAGGTCCTGTAATTAGTTGGGAAACAGTTGTAGGGAAAATTCAAAAATCTTTAGGAATCCTTCTGGAATAGCAATAGCACTTAGACTTATATTCCGCTTTATAGTGCTTTACAGCCCTCCCTAAGCGGTTTACAGAGTCAGCCTCTTGCCCCCAACATTCTGGGTCCTCATTTTACTGACCTTGGAAGGATGGAAGGCTGAGTCAACCTCGCGCCTTGGTGGTATTTGAACTGCCAAATTGTAGGCAGCTGGCTGCAGAAGTAGCTTGCAGTACTGCACTCTAACCACTGTGCCACAGAGGCTCCTAATCCTTTATTGGTGAGGCCTCTAAACAGCTCTCTGGGTGTGTAATGAAAATAAGTAGCTTAACCATTGTTGTGTACTTCTCCCAGTTATAAGTGTGTGTACAATATTTACCTTGGGCCCTTTCAATATCTTTTTTTTTTGATGCCCAACTGTTCCTTTTGTATTAACAAGATTTTTAGAAGTGTTTTTCTCCTGCCTAGCAGTAATTGAGCCCACAAGTTCATTTGTACGTTGTGACGGTCATAAAGTGGCCATTCTATGACTGTGGGGTGGGGGTGAATGGGCGCTTCGGAGGAGCTGCGCCAACAGGAAAAGCCACCCTGCCGGCTTCTTTGAAGCAGTTTCTTCCTGGGCTGGTGGAGGAGCGAGAGAGCGACTGAGAGAGGAACGAGGCGGGAGGAAACCGAAGCCACTGAGCCAGAGAGCAGGACAGGCTTTGGTTGCTTCCTCCCTCCCCTTCTTTCATTTGTGTCCTTGATCCCTGATCCCAACAGCATTCACCGAAGGCGAAGAAAGCCGCCATTTTTATTTTATTTTTTATTTTTATTTTCTTTGCGGCTCGGTGCAAAGTGATCCACGGACCGGTACCGGTCCACGGACCGGTGGTTGGGGACCCCTGTTGTAGGAGATGACCAGGTGGGATCAAATACACCATCAGTTTGGAGTTTTTGTGTTCCTGTAAGAGACTTAAGTCCAGCCCCTTTCTCTCCCCCCCCCCCCGACTCTGAAGTCTGTTATCTGGTGCCAATTTGCTTTGACCATTAGTAGTTCAGATTATTGTGTATCAATAGCATGAAATCAATTTGTAGTATTTTGAATTCCGTCGTGGTTCCTGACTTCTTACACCTGACAATTGTTAAGTGAACACATAAAGTTCATTGTAAGTGAACTTCATACCCAGGTTGCAAGTCCCTTTTGGAGGGGGTGGGGGGTCAGTTGTAACTTTGGGCAGTTGCTAAGCAACCAGTCATAAGTTAAGCGCTACCTACGCCACAGCCCTATGGAATATTCATATATTGTAAAACTAACTTCCAAAAACTGCAGCTCTGTGAAAACTCTTCTTAAAGTAAGAATCCTTCTTGCATAAAAATGTGATCTTTTTACTCTAATCCAAGGGTCTTCAAACTTGGCAAGTTTAAGACTCATGGACTTCAACTCCCAGAATTCCTGAGCTAACATGACTGGAGGAAGAATTATGGGAGTTGAAGTCCACAAATCTTCAAGCTGTTGAGTTTGAAGACTCCTGCGAGTCTAATCCAATCTAACCTACAATGTTTGTCTTTCCAACAGGGTAACAGAGAGGAAGCAGATAATCCAAGTACAGGTATTGGTGCATTCCGCTTCATGTTGGAGTCCAACAAAGGGAAATCCATGTTAGAGTTCCAGGTATTCTTAATTAGATTATGCAATTCAGACTTTTGCTGCTAAAACCTGACCTATTTGCCTTAATTTCAAGTAGCTGTTTGTGAAGAGGAAATGCAAAATACGCGGGAGAGGTGGAATTGGCATGGAAATGTAGTATTATTATTGTTCTCCACAATCTGTTGACCGGCTCTGAAATATCATCAGATATCCTAAGATAAAAGCCTCTTGCAATGCCTTTAATGCAATTGCTTAAGGAATTATGATGGTAGACCGAATTATGATGGTAGACCGAGAATCTCTTTCTGACATTATCAGAATTAGATTTTAAGAAAAAGTTTGGAAACCTCTGGGCATTGTTGAATGATGAATCACTCAGCAGTTTTTATGTTAACAACCTGGAGGCAAATTATCATGTGCAATATTCAGAAATGCAGTGCTCAAGGGGAGAAGGAATGGCTTTGGGCACATCCAGTTATGCCCCCAGAAGCTGTAAATGCTCCAACACTGGGAGTTTTTAAAAAGATGTTGGATAACCATTTGTCTGAAGTGGTGTAGGGTTTCTTGCCTTAGGGGGTGGACTAGAAGACCTCCAAAGTCCCTTCAAACTCTGTTATTCTCTTCTAGTTCATGCCTTTTTTCTGCTGATATCAATGCTCAGAATTGGCCTGCTTTCTTTTGGCAGGAACTGATGACAGTTTTCCAGCTGCTACACTGGAACGGTAGCCTTAAAGCCATGCGAGAGAGGCAGTGCTCAAGACAGGTAGGTTTGTTCAAAGGATCTGCAGCTTTTCATGCCTGTAGCTGGTGGTGGACAGAAGCCGAGGTGCATCTGGTATTGCTGAACATCTTTGCTGTGAGCTTCCTGAAGCCGCTGGAACTCAGTGCCACCTGGAGGGCTGCAGGTTCTCCTCCCTCTATTTTAAAACAGCACCAGAAGCCGTTTTGGTCTCTGTGGAAAACAAAGCAACATATGAGAGATTCTTGCGGCTTAAGAGAAGTGTGTGAAATCGAGAAATCGCACTTTTACTCCCTTTCTTTAAGCCAGAAGAATCTGAGCTTGGGCTAGTTCCACTTGTCAATCCTTGATTGAAATAAAAGATTGAGAATAGGCTCTAGCAACAAGGTACAGGTAGTCTTTGACTTACAACAGTTTGTTAATAGACTGTTCAGAGTTCCAACGGCACCGCAAAAAGGGACTTATGACCCTTTTTCAGAGTTACGATCGTCACAGCATCCCTTTCATCACATGATCAAAAATTCAGACGCTTTGCAACTGGTTCATATTTATGACTGTTGCAGTGTCCCAATGTCATGTGATCCCCTTTTTGCGACCTTTCGACAGGCAAAGTCAATGGGAAATCCAGATTCACTTAACAGCTGCATTACTAGCTTATCAACTGCAGTGCTTCACTTAACGACTGTGCCAAGAAAGGTCATAAAATGGGGCAAAATTCACTTTAAAATGTCTCGATATAAATTTTGGGCTCAGTTGCGGTTGTAAGTTGAGGACTATCTGTACTTTACTGACAATAAAGCAGTTAGAGATTAGAACAGGCAAAATCTGTTGTCTAGGCATGAAAACATTGCAGTTAATTTTCCTTTTCCCCTGGCCACCCCTTCTGTAATCAGTTACTTGTCCAATTCAAAATCCTGGGTTGCTTTGGAAATGGACCCAGTGTTCTTACCTTTCCCCTCACCACATTCCTTTTGTTGGCCTTGTGCTTGTGCTCCTCAGCTCAGGGCCTGCTCTGCTTCAATCCCAATCCCGCCCCAACATTCCAATCTCTTCCCCCCACCTCCCACCTTTGCTATGCCAGGCTGGCAAAAGGCAAAGCGAAGCAGCAGCAGCAGAGTGGCAGCCATAACAGTCACTTGCTGTTCCATATTTTTGTACGAGTTATTTGAAGGACGGTTTACGGCATGAAGCCGTCTGCCTGACCCGAGAGAGAAAAACCTCTTGGCTGGTTCTGTTAGCTGGAAGACCTCCTTTCTCCCATTCATTTGTGTCCTCTTTCCTCCTTCACCAGGAGGTGCTGGCACACTACTCCCATCGTGCCCTGGATGATGATATACGGAACCAGATGGCAACGGATTGGGTCAACCGAGAGCAGAACATCCCAGGGGCCCTTTCCAGGGAGCTGGCCTCGACTGAGCGTGAACTGGACGAAGCTCGGCTAGCTGGAAAGGAGCTGAGATTTCACAAGGAGAAGAAAGACATCCTGATGTTGGCTGCTGGCCAGCTGGGGAACATGCATTCTTCCAACTGCTAGGACTCTCTCGTAGCTCTTTCACTCCCTTCTTAACTACTCTCTCTTCCCACAATAGTTTGCTGAAGAAGTCGGAAGGAATGTTACAAATACGAAGAAGCCCCGTGTTCAGCCCGATTTTTTCCTAATTTTATTGTGCAATGTGATGTTTGTGTTTGGGAGACTTTAGTGCAGAATTTGAAAATAACCTTAATTGCCTTAATTTTTAGTTCTAAGTGTCAGGTGTCCTCCCATTAGAGAAGGAAACCGAGGGTAACCTTTTTTGGGGGTGGGTGGGGGGGAAACTGTCGAGTTTGTTCAGAACTCGGCTTCAATTCTAACCACCTGAAAGGTGTCATTGAACAGCCTCCAGTGCTTTGCTTTCCAAGAACAGAGGACCAATTGCACACTTTTTTAAAAACAAGATTGTTGAAAATTCTGTATAGATTTTATACTTGGACCTCTGGTTATCTTTTCGTTCTGCTGAAGAACTTTTTGTAGAACATACTAATAATGTAACTTTTTTGGGAGAAATAGACCTTTGTTCAAATCTTGATTCTATCCAGGTTGTCAGTATTAAGTAGAAAAGGAACACTGCCACAGAAGAATGCCAGTGTTTGTTATTAGGGTATAATGGATTGATATATGCTACGCAGATGTGTACCTACAGCTAAAGTAGTTTGATATACACCATCTTATAAGTAGAGCACTTAAAACACCCTGTTTCCGTTATTGTCCAATCTCCAGTAGGATTCTATTTTAACTGGACTGGTTGTCACTTTTTTCAGTGCCATAAACTTTGAACAGTCCCTACACTACTGTTGTAAATCAAGGACTACCTATATTGACCATGACTTAATTTTATATTGTTGCTGTGTTCAAGATTTACTTTCAAAATCTTAGGACACATTAAGGAATGTTGGTCTCCGGCATGCCAGGTTAGTTTGGTTCTTTGCTGGGTTTTTTCTCATGTGTAAACAAGCCCTGATCCAGTACAAAAACTTGGCCTACGATATCTCTTGATCAAAAATTTCAGGCCCTCTTAAGGTAAATGGAGCAACTTGCAAAAGTTGGGTGGTCTGTTCTGGTTGATTATTATAGTAAAGATTTGACTGATGGGGGAAATATTAGCTGGTGATCAGTGGGCTCAAAGTGTTTTTTTGGTCTTCATGTCTTCAATATCTTGCCATTTGTATACATGAAATAAAACAATATCCTCTTTTTATATATATACATATTTATATTTATATATTTTATACATAGGTATTGTTTACACAATATTAATGTTTAAAGCATTTATAAAGTTAGCTTACAACTAAATTCTTTGAAGAAGAATACTAGTTCAGACTAGTCTGGCTGACTGGTAAGACCCATATTTGGGTTATTTCTCTTACCTGAATCTATCCAGAGACAGTCTGAATAGGTCTCAGTTTTCACATGACCCAAATGTGAAATACTGTACTTCCTTCTGGTGCTGATGTTTTTTTCCTGACCATGCAGCTTTCCCCCCCTCTGTTTTCTGTAACTATCGGTAATCTCCAGATTATCTGTGCAGTATTACCTACAATACTCCCCTACGCTGCTTGCCTCTTTCATGATTTGTGTGTTCACGACTTTGTAATGCATAGTTTTTGTGTAATAAACAGGATTTGGGAAAAGCCCTTCCTCTTGTTCATTCCATTGCTTAGAAGCGAAGCCATCACCCATCATTTTATATTTTCTATTTCTGTGCTCTTCTTCGGGAAAATCCAGAAGCGCCACGCACCTTGTCTTGCACCTTGTTACTCAAGGGAGGCCTGCAGCTTCTTCCTCTATTGCTGCTGCTCAGTGTACAGGTAGTCCTCGGGTTACAACCAGAACTGAGCCCAAAATCTCTGGTGCTGAGTGAAGCATTTGTTAATTGAATTTTGCCCCATTTTACGACCTTTTTGTGCCACCATTTGGTGAATCACTGCAGGTGTTAAGTCAGTAACACAATTGTTTAAGCGAATCTGGCTTCCCCATTTACTTTTGCTTGCCAGGTCGCAAAAGGGGATCACATGTCCCTGGGACATCAGTTATCATACAAACAGGTAGTCCTCAACTTCATGATTACAAGTGAGCCCAAAATTTACGTTGCCAAGCGAAAAATGTGTTAAGTGAATTTGTTCCATTTTAGGACTTTTCTTGCCACATTTGTTAAGTGAATCCCTGCAATTGTTAAATTAGTAACCCAGTTGTTAAGTGAATTCTGTCTTCCCCATTGACTTTGCTAGTCAAAAGGTTGCAAAAGGGGATCACGTGACCCTGGCACACTGCGACCGTCATAAATATGAGTCAAGCATCCGAAGGTAAAGCACGTTGAGCGTGGGGAGGCTTGCAATGGCCATATGTGTGAAAAACGATCATAGTCACTTTTTTTCAGGGCTGCTGTAACTTCGAGCAGTCACTAAACGAACCGTTGTAAGTGGAGGACCACCTGTATATATGCCAGTTGCCAGTTGACTTCCAAGTGAGTCAAATTCCAGCGGCCATTTGGAATTTGGGGCTGCAATGACCCGCGCCCGCCGCAAGGGGGCAGTGTGCGATGCCTCTATCATCCCGGCGGCGCCAGGAGCCACGCCCCCAAGAGTGCCGCGCAGACTCAGTTGCCACCTTGTAGCGTCGACCTATCTTTTTTTTTTTTTGCCAGCAGCCACGCTTCCGAAGGTGCTGCGCAGACTCAGTTGCAGTGTTGTAGGTCGACCTTCTCTAAATGGCTGCCGGGACCGTCCCTTTCTTTTCTTCCTAGGAGGCGGTTGCGCTTCCTATCCCGGCCGGAAGCTATCCCGTCCTCCCTTGCGAACTGGTAGGCAAGTGATTTCGACGGCGGCCTTGGAGGGTTTTCGCTTAGTGGACCAACATGGCTGATGTGCTGGACCTTCACGAGGCGGGGGGCGAGGACTTCGCCATGGACGAGGACGGCGACGGTATGAGTCTCACGCCCATTCCCCTTTAGCCCGGCCACGTCGCCAGCAACCCTGCGAGGTGGGCCGGTGAAGACCGGCTGGGGCCGTGGAGGCTGACCAGCTGCGCATGCGCGCTGTTTAAGACGGCCATGGAATTCATTTTACTGGTTATTTACTGAAATTTCCCCAACAATTAACCCGAGGAACTGTTTGCCACCAGAAGTTGTGGGTGTTCCATCACTGGGGGTTCTTAAGAGGAGATTGAACAGCCATTTGTCTGAAATGCTATAGGGTTTCCTGCTTGAGCAGGGGGTTGGGCTAGATGACCTCCAAGGTCCCTTCCAACTCTGTTATTCTGTTATTTTGTGGAGCTTCCAAGCGCTCAACCAGTGTCCTGCATACTGGACGAGAGGCAACAGGTATTGAGGTTGAAGCATGGCTTCATCTTTCATATATTTGAAAAATGTGATCCTACATCCCTCAGTGATCTCTTCTCAAGACTAAAGGTAGTCAAATTGCCTATCAATCCCATTTTATGTTTAATTATATCCATTTTTAACTTAATATCCTTTTTCTGTGGCATTTTCTGTAACTTTTTCAAGTTCTTTATACTCAACCTCTAATGTCTTAAAAGCTAGTCTTTTTGTGATATTTCTTTTCCTTGTATATTATCAAGCCTCTGGCATATGCCTTCATTGTATCCCATACATTCTGCATTGATGTGTCTTCTTTTTTATTTTCTTTAAATTGCCTTGGGCCTCTCCTCCGTTTGTCTGAAATGGTCTTGGGTTTCCTCCTTGAGCAGGGGGTTGGACTAGAAGACCTCCTAGGTCCCTTCCAACCCTGTTATTCTACTGCAGGGGTCCCGAAACTTAGCAACTTTAAGACTTGTGGACTTCAACTCCCAGAATTCTGGGAGTTCAAGTCCACAAGTCTTAAAGTTGCTAAGTTTGGAGACCTCTGTTCTACTGCATTCTGATTATATTGTACACCACCCAGAGCCCCTTGGAGGAAGGTGGATGGTTGAGAACTATGAAGTATTAATAGGAAACAATGTAAAGCCAAACTTTAAAATCATTAAATGTTTTATATATTGATGTTAAAATTATAGTTAAAAAGCTGTTCTCCCTGCTGTTCTGTTGAATGGGCTTATTTTCTTTGTGTGTGGATTCTGGGTTCTTATCTTTGCTTTTATTGCATTTAACAGTTAAGGGGCTTATCCTGAATTTTGTTACTTTCCACCGAAGTAGGGAGCATTCTGTCAGGTCATCTAGGAGTCCTGTGATTGTAGATCTTTTTCTTAGCTCATTGCTTCTATTCTTAACATTAAGAATTTTATCACAAGTATTTACTTATAATCTGTTTCTTATTACAGGTAGTCCTTGATTTACAACCACAATTGAGCTCAAAATTTATGTTGTAACAAATTTTTGCCCCGTTTTACAACTTTTCTTGCCACAATTGATAAGGTGAATCACCGTAGTTGTTCAGTTAGTAACATGGTTGTTAAATGAATCGGGTTTCCCCATTGACTTTGCTTGTCAGAAGGTCGCAAAAGGGGATTACAGGACCCCAGGACAATGCAACCGTCATAAATATGAACCAGTTAAGCATCTGAACGTAAACCGCATGACCATGGGGACTTTGAACAGTCACTAAATGAATGGTTGTAAGTCGAGACTATATTGTGAATTGGGTTTTCAGAGTGACTTTGCAATCATTAAAAGCTAAGCGCTTTCCATTCTTGGTTGTTGTTAATTGATCCAACTATATTTGGTTTCTCTTCAGAAAGCATCCACAAATTGAAGGAAAAGGCAAAGAAAAGAAAAGGCAGAGGTTTTGGGTCAGGTAAGTTCTTTCAATTTAGCTGCAGTTGTTCATGAGGGTTAGAAACCAGGTGTGTTCCTGTCCCACCTTAGGCAGGAAAAGCAATTGGGGTGACTTTGGGCCAGTCACCCTCTCTTAGCCTAATTTACCCCCACATGGTGGTTGCTTTGGGTAAAATGCAGGAGGTTTGCACCTTGAATCACTTAAAGAATAATAAAGGCATTTTATTTATAAAAATGGTAAATGTGGGATGTAAATAAATATAAATAAGTGGTATTGCCTGTGACAGGTTCCTTCCCAGCCTACATGAGATACAGGCACAGTTTGGGATGGAGAGAGCGAAAAATTGTGTTTGACCGACACTAAAACAGAATAAAGTCTTGTTTGTGTCGTCATTGTGAGTTTTTTAAATGCACATTCCTCCTGTTTATAGTGCCAAGCTGCCCCTAGAGCCATGATGGCACAGTGGTTAGAATGCAGTATTGCAGGCTAATTCTGCCCACAGCCAGCAGTTCAATCCTGACCGGCTCAAGGTTGACTCAGATTTCCGTCCTTACGAGGTCGGTAAAGTCAGGATCCAGATTGTTGGGGGCAAATAGGCTGATTCTGTAAACCACTTAGAGAGGGCTGTAAAAGCACTGTGAAGCGGTATATAAGTCTGAATGCTATTGCTATCTCATCTTCATTGTCTGGGAGGGGAACTGTGCGACGCAGGTTTCTCATTTGCTATTCTCTGAAACTGAGAGCCACCTTACAATACCTCCAGGGACACATGTTACTTGTATTTAATTACATATGTGTGTGCGACATTTGTTTTCTCTTTTGCTTATGGGCGTCCCTGAACAGAGGAGGGTTCCAGAGCCCGAGTCCGTGAGGACTACGACAGTGTGGAGCAAGATGGTGATGAACCGGGGCCTCAGAGATGTGAGTTGATGCCCTTACTTTTTTCCTTTCTTTCGGCATGTCGAAGTTTTCATTTATATATACAAATGGACCTCACTTTTGGCTCCTTGTGTTGCTGCAGCGGTGGAAGGTTGGATCCTCTTTGTCACGGGGGTGCACGAGGAGGCTACAGAGGAGGACATTCACGACAAGTTTGCCGAGTTTGGGGAGATCAAGAACCTCCACTTGAATCTTGACCGGCGGACAGGCTACCTGAAGGTACGCAAAGATCCAATCTGGGTCGGCCAACCAGGACCAGAGGTTTTGGACTCTTGCTGGAGCCTGTCTTTAAGGAACTTCTCTCTAGGAGACCTTGTGCTGTTCTGTGTGTGGTATTTAGAGTGTCTATGGCCTTTTGGATGTTGCTTGGGGTGTGTTGGTGACCGGCTTTTAAGATGTTGGCTGTCGTTTCCTTGTGCTGCCCAGCCCTCAACTTCTAAGTACTTGAAAAACTGGTGGTAAATCAGCACTCCTGTTGGCTGACGAGGTGCCCGTTTCCCACGCTTCAATCATTTCCCTGGCTGTTTTTGCCCCTGCTCGGCCAACAATCTTAGTGTGTGGTTTTTTTTTTATCCCAGCTCAGTCTAAATGACCATTAGGTGATCGCTCTATACCAGGAGTGTCAAACTCGCGGCCCATGGGCCAGATGTGTCACATGCTGGCCACGCCCATGCCCAGTTTAACAAAGGGTAAAAAGTCACGT